TCACTGATAAAGTAGCAAAGAAAAACTTCTGGCATAGTGAGTGAAATTATGCAAATTTTCAAAAGATGTATACCCTACATTTGAGAACAGAAAACAGTCACTAGCTATGATGAACCTGGTATAGTGGTATCTAGCTACTAGATTCTATACCGTTAACAAATGCCCAAATATTTGAAAGGTGGAGAGTAAAGCCAAGAACAGATCTTTTTCTTTGAAAAGAAGGAAATGATTATTTTGAGAAAATGAGAGAAACCCTCATCTTCAAATCAAGAAATTAATGATTGATTCATGTTAAAGGGTAAATCTTAATTAATAAAAAATTAATATCAAGTATTTGAGCTATTCTTCTTATTAATAATGTTGAACATTCAAAATAGGATTTTAAAATTCAATATAGTTTTTAAGCTCGAAGATCACGAATGAGCAGTGGAATTTTAAGGTTAATGTTTTCAAAGAATCACTATGTATAAGGATACAATGCTTGAATATGGAAAAACTAATCAACATGTACGTAAGTGTTGAATTACTTTTCTTAATGAGGTTTAACGTTATTAAGATTGAACCCAAAAACTAAATATCGAATGTGAAGAAACACTAATATAGGTGGATTATTACATGTATGGTAATTGGACTATATAATTTAATAATTTAAAGAATAAAAAGAAATTAAAATCTTACTTATTTGTCTATATAGTTTTTCGATAGGCATATGCACATGCAATCTTCTACTCGGAGGAGGATGTAGGGGAGACTGGGCCGGGCATTCCATTTTGATAGGTTAAAAAAAAAAAATTGGTATGTAGAAAGTTTTTTTTTTTTTTTTTTACATACGAGCCCGGTTTGAATTTTCTTTTTTTTTTTTTAGTCTGGTTCTGAATTAGTCCCTACTTCTAACCTTGATACATGTAGTTTCTATCGAGATATTTAGGCTTTGTTTGATTTTGCTTAAAAGTTTATTAAAAATTGATGCTGGTATCTTGGGTATGGATATTGTTAATTAGTTGAAGAATGCTTTGAAGATGCTTTGAAATATGCATATCACACTTCCTTTTAGGGTTTGGGCCCAAATGCATATAAAGTAGTATAAACAAAGTGTCTTACTCTTACTTTGCAAGATGTAGAGGAAAGGAATATGCTTGTTGCTCTACCATAGGGTATCAATATCTCTTTTGAGTTTTTTCTTTTTCCTTTTTTTTTCTTACTGAAGTTAATTCTTTAACTTTTAACAATTTTTTAAATTAAAAAAAAAAAATTAGCACTTGATTGAAATTTTTATATCCATGAATGGAATTTAAAAAGTCAAA